CTGCCATGGCAGGGGGTTGGACTAGATGATCTACTCAGGCCCCTTCTGACCTTAGAAACTATGAAACTACTTCTTGCAAAGACCGAGTCAAGATTTGTAGGCTGGCATATGCCGCTAGGAACTCTGGAAAGAGCACCAGCTAAGATACCAGGGAGAGAGAGGTGGGCAAGACCAGAGAACGAGAGAGTCAGTGTGCGGCTGCCAAGAGTACGTAGCTGACCACACAGGGTTTTCAGGACTCAGAAGGGCTGTGCCAGAGGGATAAAAGGAAAGGTTGGAGCCACAGTGAGGAGCAGATGAGCAACCCCAGGGGGTGTCAGAGTTATCCAGCGAAGCAAAGGGCAGCAGCCATGAGACAGCAGGAAGCATACAGTTACAAAAGCTGTTGCAAGAAATCAAAACATGGGGGGGGTTTCACAGAACTAGCCAGGAACCCAGTGCCCAAAGGAACAGTACCAGATTCAGGATGTTGGGCCATTATGTTGTAAAAGCTAAAGCACCATTTAGGAAAATAATAAACCCTCATTGCTTTAGTGATTTTTTTTTTCAAGTTTCATTTTAAAGGGGAAGCAAGTTGAGGGGGTTTTTTTCTTCAGTTTAATAAGTGCTTCTATAAAGAGACCGTTTCCAAGGGAAAATGTGGAGGGGAATTGACACATTTGTTCTTTGTTATGAAAATATGTGAATATTTTAATGTGGTAAAATGTTATTTGCCTCTGAAGAATTCTTTTACTGTGCAACTGTACAAACAGAACAAAGGGGAAATTACTGGGGAACCAAAGGAACCACTTTGCTTCTCACTCTGTGTGGGGAAGTAAAGGAGATAAAATTGATTACGAGCTCCTGGAAGGGAAAAAGAATTTTTCTAATATTCCAAGCTGTGGGAGTCTGTGCCTTCAACAAGTAGTAGAGAAGTCTTGCTCTAACTTTTCCAAGCAAGTAGCTGATGCAGTCCCTCCATGCTCAGTCGTCTCAGTCATAAAGAGCAAATAACCAGAGCTGACAAACAGTGTGTCCACCACCTCATTACTCTCATCCCTGACTTGTTCTCACAACTGCTCCCCTTGTGCTTGCATACAGCCTTGTGCACTGCCTAAGGAGGACACAATAGAGAACACCTCCATCCATGCTCCTTGGAGGAAGCAGACTCCAAAAAGCCTTTGTGTTGCAATACCTCTCCTGCGAGGATATAAAGCTCACTTCCCTGAGGACATCTGTACGTAGACTTTCCCATGCAACAGAGGTATAATGAACAACATGATTTATGAGCAACTAGAGGAGAAGGGAAATAAAACAAAAGAAAGAAAAAGATAAAACCATTGCAAGGCAGGTACAACAACTGGCTGAATAATCTTTTGCAAACAGTAGTCATGGATATTTTAATGTCTAACTGGGAGGAGGCATCAAATAGGGTTCCCCAAGGGTCTGTCCTGGGTATGGTACTGTTCAATATCTTCATTAATAATTTGGAGTGATGAAGCACCCAGCTGAATTAAGTGCATGCCTAGCAAATTTGGATGATAGGGTTAGGATTCAGCATCATTTAGTTAAACTGGAAAAATAGTCTGAAATTAATCAACACAAATTCAAGAAGAACAAATACAAACAAAAATGAGATAATCCCATATACAAGTATAAATTGGGGAATGATCAGTGAGGCTGCAGTACTGCTTAAAAAGGACCTTGGGGTTATAATAGACTACTAGCCAAATGTGAGTCAACATTTGGTATTGTTGCAAAACAGAACAATAACATAGTGGATTGTATTAACTCTTGCACTTAGAAACTGGATTTTTAACTTGGTGCTTTAAGAATTGACACAACACTTGATTGATGAAAGGCTTGCTTGAA